ACTTTTCTTAATGTTATGTACAATAGATCTTTGTTTGGTCAATGAAGACAGGCCGTCTGTTGGATATTCTAAGCGGCCATGAAGGTCCTGTTCACGGTTTGATGTTTTCTCCTACAAATGTGAGTTTACTTATATTATATTTGATTGTTCTGCTGGTATAATTGTTCTGTTGGTTTATTATAAATGCATATGCTTCTATAATGCTCATTCTGGCTGTTGCAGATGCATTTACTTTTATAGAGGTGGTTCTGATTTAAGTTGTTTTCTTTATGTATGTTGTTTTTATATTCTCATGCAACCAAGAGTTTATTTACAAGGTTTAACGTTGATAACTTTTGGAGCTTGATGAGATGCTTTTTTCTCCCACATGCAGGCAATTTTAGCTTCATCATCATGGGACAGAACAGTTCGGTTGTGGGATGTTTTTGATGGAAAAGGTGCCGTTGAAACATTCACTCATACACATGATGTTCTTACATTGGTTTACCGTCCAGATGGAAAGCAGTTGGCGAGCAGCACATTAGACGGTCAAATTCATTTCTGGGACCCGATTGATGGTTTATTAATGTATACCATTGAGGGCCGTAGGGATATTTCTGGAGGTCGTCTTATGACAGATCGTAGATCAGCTGCCAACTCAAGTTCAGGAAAGTTCTTCACAACCTTATGTTATTCAGCTGATGGGAGTTACATATTAGCTGGAGGAAGTAGCAAATACATCTGCATGTATGATGTTTCTGATCAGGTTAGTTTCTTACCACAGCATGATCCACACTCAATGATGTTTCTCAAACTTCAATTTTTTCACATTCTTGTTACTGTTTTGTTTTCTGGCTGGAACATCAAGACCTTAAACATTGAACTATATGCAGTTATGCACATACATCTCTTGCATCTCTTTCATGCTTTGAAGAAACTGCTCAGAAACACATGAGCTATATTTTCATTAACCATTGGGTCACAAGCTTTTACACATTCTTACATGAGACATGTTCTGTACTTTGATTTATTGCAACTTTAGCCAACCACTGCGATATATAGTCATTTGTTATCCTTTTTCTTTTGCCCCCATCATTTACCTTTTCAGCCACACAGATGTAAGACTTCCCATGATTTCTGGCAGGGTTTCAAATGTGTCTGTTTCTAATTACCTTTGATCTATGCTTTCTTCCTAATCTTCTTTCATTCCATCTTTGGGTCCCATTGGTTATTGGTTAATAGATTAAAAATTGGTGTCTGAAGTGGCTTAATGGAAAATACACTCTAGAGTTTATTAGGCCTGTTGCAAACACCAATATTTCGAACTTCAGATAGTTAGAGGGATAGATCTAGAGAGTGTTCGTAGGCAGCTTTTAAGGCTTTGAACCACATGCTTAATATACAGGAAAAGTAGTGAAAAGTGAGGTAACATACATATTCTCCAAATTTGGAACAGATCTGTTGAATATGTACGAGTTGCATATTCAGAAGATAAAGTCAAATATGTGATGAGGTTTTTTATAAGAGCTGTACAACTTTCCACCTCTTGGCCAGGTCCCAATGAATTAAGATTTCTCCAAGTCGCCGCATATTCAGAACATAAAACATTTAACGAGGACTTTGATTGGGGCTGTGCAACTTCCATGGTTATCTGAATACCCAATGCCTTCGAGTTTTGAATGAACTTTAAGCAGCTTGTTGTATATTTTGATATAAAAAAGCAGCTTGTGTAACTTTTATATTGATTCTTTCTCTTGCCGTCTTGTATGCATATGCTCTTGGGTAGAATGTTTTTGGCCTTAAACCTGTTACAATCCGCTTGTTTCTACATCAATTATCTAAACCTATTCTTTAGAAAATACCCCAACTTTTTTGTCCTAATGCTTTTTTGTTGCCTTCCTGTGTGAGAAATAAATCATTGGATTGGCAATACAACAATGTATTTTAATCCAGTGTGAGAATGCTCTATAAGTTGGGAAAAGATAAGTTAGGATGTATAGAATTGTCCTTGTCTATATTGTACATGTATAGGTGATTGGGTATATCTCCTTCTGCCTCACTCAGTACCATGGTATTTCTCTGAATCTAGCTTATAGAGGAACTCCACTTCTTCATTATGTTTAAACTTCAAAGTTCTTAGGTCTATTGATTTAGTGGATTTATTTTCACAGGTGTTGCTGCGGAGGTTTCAAATAACTCACAATCTATCTTTGGATGGAGTTCTTGACTTCTTAAACTCAAAGAATATGACAGATGCTGGACCACTGGATTTAATTGACGATGATAACAGTGATATAGAAGAAGGTGTTGACAAACAAACCCGGGGAAAGTTGGGTTATGATTTACCAGGATCCATGCCTAACCGTGGAAGGCCGGTTGTTAGAACAAAATGCTTGAGAATTGCCCCCACTGGTCGGAGCTTCTCAGCCTGCAACAACAGAGGGAGTTCTAGTTTATTCTATTGATGATTCTTTTATCTTTGACCCAACTGATCTTGACATGGATGTCACACCTGAGGTACGTGGTGAAACTTTGAAATATTCTGAACATCCCTCTACTTAGATTACCATTAAACATTTTCAAAATGTTGTTTCTTTAAAACTCAGTATGCCACCATAATACTACAATTGCTCTAATTAAATTCAATTTTCTATGAACATCAATATTTGTCTGATAAAAACATAAACTTAATTAAAGAAAAACTAGGTAGACTGTCCACCTTTGAAACCTAGAGGAGGTACCATGGGCACCTGGAACAAAGGTACCTCCGTTCCAAAGGTGGGAGGAGAGCAGCTGGATGATGGTGGCAGGGAGAGTGGATGGGGAGGGGAGAGAGATTTGTGTTTTAACCAGTCCTTGAATGTTATTTTATCGAAGGTTTATAATGGAGATTAAAGAATTCATATTGGAAGGCTTGCGAGAATTTTATTTTAAATAGTGAGACCCTTCTTTAAAATTGCACTAATTTTCTTAGTTATTGTAGATTTCTACCTTCAATTTTGTTTTCTGATCACATTGTTCTGCAGGCTGTTGATGCTGCACTCAATGAAGATAAATTGAGCAAGGCTTTAATCCTCAGTCTCAGATTAAATGAAGACAGTCTGATTAAAAAGTGTATTTTCAAAGTTAGTCCGATAGACATCCCTGCTGTCGTCTCATCAATTCCTTACAGATATTTGCAAAGGTTAATCGAGGCATTAGCAGATCTTTTGGAAAGTTGCCCGCATGTGGAGTTCATTCTTCAGTGGTGTCAGGTAACTTCTATTGAATTTCGTTTCTGCTCAGTCCAGATGCTGTATACCTCTTACAGCAGGATTGTTTTCATATCAGGACCGCACTGAGGGTTTGTGTTTGTTTTGTCTTGCAGGAGCTCTGCAAGGTTCATGGTAACTCTATTCAACAAAACTTCCGAAAGCTGCTTCCTGCTTTAAAATCCCTACAGAAGGCAATAACAAGAACACATCAGGATTTGAAGGAGACATGTTCTTCCAACGAATATATGCTTCGATATTTATGTTCAGCAAGCTCAGGGAAATGAAAAGTATGGCAACGCTGCTGCACACCTCAACAAAATTTTCAGGTAAAAGATTACTGTTTTCATTGCAATGTGTGAAATCAACTTGCTTGGTTTTGGGAACCCTCGTCGCTCTATTGACATGTTGGAAAATACTTGAGCTGTGAAATTGAGGCTCGTGACAAGAACTGCAGTTTGTTGCTTAAAACATCATCCGTGCAGTAAAGTCTTGCAGTCATTGCAGGCGTATGTATTTGCAGCATCAGTTAATGTTGTCTCTGTGGTAGTTAAAAAGTAGATTTGTCTTGAAACATTGTCCGTCGCTAATTGGCATTCATCGTATGATCTGATGCCGATCTGCAGTTTTTCTGTACTATATTGACAAAGAGAATTGGTCCTCGGGAAATGTACGTCTTGAAGTTTTCCTTTTTCCCCAGTCTGCTTTTGGTCTGCTTTTGTCTGTGTGGAGTTTGGAATGATGATTGGTCTTGATGGATTGGATCAGAAAAAGCAGTTGGAACATGAATATTTCAATTTATTTTTTTCTTGATGCTTATTGCAAAGCATTTCTTTGGTTGCAAGTCGTTGACTTGCATCTTATTGCAAGGGAGGGAAATAAACAAAGGTGTCTAGGTATGGGCAGATCCACATGAGGCGGTCTGGGGACCCTTTGAAGGCCCGGAAAAATACATGTAAAGGTTCTTCGAGGACTTTCTAAATGTCTAATACGGGATCGTTTTGCGCCCATCAAGTGTTTGATGAAATGTCTTATAGTAGTCTCAGTAATATTTGGCAGGATGTGTCGACAACGCTAGGCATGAGATCTCGACATCACTCAGCAAATTGCTTTAGATTGGTAGACATAAACAGAAATGGAGACGATAGGCGCACCAAGTGCTTGACAAATTTCCCCACTAAAAAAAATTTGCTCACTAAGCACAGTTTTCATCTAAATAAAACTTGAATATTTTACATTAGAATCCGTTAAAATTACAATCCTGAACCCGCCTACTGTAGAAAATTGGTGTAAAGAAATCATTTTTACTTGGGTATCACACAGGGGTGGTAAATTGGAGATGTCTGAAGACCAGCAAATCACACCTTCAAATGTTGCTGGGGCTATCAATCATTTTTTTAAGCAACCCATTTTTAATTGAATTGTTTTGTTCTATAGTTAAATTCCGGTTTTCCTCACTTCAAATTCAAATCTACATATCTTAGGACTCAGTTCAGTTTCTACTTTCTAGGATTGGATGGATTGATTAACTCATACAATTCAAGAGCCGTGTAAAGGTAAGGGTGAATGATTTTTCATATTTCGGGAATTATAAGAAATCCGACGTAATATATATTTTTTTATGGATTTAAAAAATTCTTCCTTCAAGTCAGACAAAATTTCTTCCATCAACGTTCCTTAAATACGAGTTATCCGATCCAATCCCATCGCACCACAACTAACTCAAACCCAATCTCACATGAAAACTAGATATATTGCACAAGAACGAAATGAGATAAATAAATAAGCGACATTTATTACTCTTGATATGATAAAATTAGTTTATTAACTCCAGTGATACATAATCCCACATATTTGTCATCTTTCAGCAACAAAAGAAAAACATGGAAGAAATGTACTACTCTGCACTCCACAGCCCAAATTCAACAACTTATTCAGATTTCTTCTCCTGACTGCCTGAGATGTCCTTAAGCTTTTCCTTCAGTTCACCACTCTACAAACGAAAAGACAACATTCTTACAGCAAATGCGTTGCCCTGAATATATAACAAAAAATACAGTAACTAGTCGAATTTATAAGGACTAACCTGATGCATATTGAGAATAATATCTGACCCTCCGACAAACTCCCCCTTGATGAATATCTGAGGAAACGTCGGCCAGTGGCTTCATAGGGAAAAAAAGGAAGTTAAGAAATCAACTCCAAATCAAAAAGGCCAAAATGCCTAAGTTTAGCATAATCGACGGTCCTGCCTCTGTATAATGAACAAAATTTGAAGTAGTTTTCGTTTCAGGTTTGCACGATCATTAGTGAAAAGGGTGACAGGTTTTAACTTCCAACAAAAACAATGAGTTCTATAATTCAATCACAATTCGTGACAATCATAATTCTTCATGCAACGACAATTTCTTAATAAATAGTACTATGTACTTCACCAAAGAAAAAAGAAAGATTTGCTTACCACTTTCGTTAATAAGCTGTGCTAGCAAATTTGGAAAGGCAAAATTATATAAACTAAAACCAGAGTGGGAAACCTTTAAAAACTAACGACAAAGAATCAACTCACCTAAAGGCTTTTACAGCACTTTTCAGTTCAGGGTCTTCCACGATATTTCTAGAAGCCAAAGGAACTTCTGCAAAGTTCACAATTATCATAAAAAAATATTTAGCAGCAATACATTAAAACACGCGAAAGTGACTTTGTTATAGTCATGTTTGTTCATAACCTCAAGCTACACTCGTTAACATAGAACCAGTTATTTCGCTTCACTCAACATACTTCATGCAATAAGTGAACTTGAAAAGAAAATTAATTCAATCAGTCAATCACTGCACCGAAACAGTACTCTACTTCATTCTGGATTACTTTATGAACAATAAATGCCTGACTATGTTTTAGCCATTGTTGAAATTTCTAGTTGATTAGGTGCATCACGTATTTGTAAGAAACTGACTCTTTATGCAGGAAGTATTAAATGCACCTCTATGTATTTGTTCAACATTAGCGAAATATTTATATCCATCTTTAGCTAGAGGCGTCTCACTTTGATGGAACTTATGAACAATCATGAACATAGTGAGCACCACTTTGCTTTCATTTCAGTTATTTCCGTTCATATGCAGATAGATTTGGTTGCTAAATGAACTTTAGAAAGTCATGAATGAAAGTTGGAGTGTTGAACGACTTGGCACTTACCATATAGTTTCAATACTCTAACAGCAAGTGAGCTGAATCCACATTGAGGAACTTCAGGCACTCCTTTCATGTAAAGCATTACAGGGTTGTCCTTGACATCCTACGCCAGAAACATATCAGAATCATTGAACGTAACAAACAATAAACCTTCATCCAGATGACAAAGGGAAAGAAAAAGATTATATTAAGAAGATTTGTTTGGCATATGTCTACCTTTTCAACAAGGTCCTTCAAGCTAAGGTCAGAACTCTCAAGCTTATTAGTTGGTTTAAAATCATCGTGTGTGTCGGCCTCATTTGGCACACTGGTGTTGTATCTCAAGCCACTAAGATAAAAGGATGCAGGAGCCTAACACCAAAAAAACCATTCAAAGTTATCATTATTAAGTATGAAGTATAATGAATCCAAATTGAAAACATGGCGTGGATTAACGTGTTGTTGTAACATATACACTGCACGTAGTTGCATGCACACTCCTATACATGGTGAGGTTGAAAACACAAACATAAAGCATGCGGAATAAAGATTAATGTTTCTTGCCAGACTATATAATATATATCATGTGATCAAAATCTCAATCCATATGACAAACAGGGTTCAGGGTTTAGGGTTCATGGTATGTTCGAACATAGATAATCCAATTAACTCTGTACCGAAACATATTTCCAATCACAGACAGGTAATATCAAAATACAACAGTATTTTTTTTTTTCTTAAAATCATATATAAAACAGTATTTAATCCAAAACAAACCCATATTGTAACTGGGTTTAGTTTGATTTGAACAAAACTCTCAGTCTCAACACTCTTTGAGTTACGCAATTTCGTTTCACTACTACTACTACTAGTGATTTCTACACCTCCTTTTTCTCCTTGTACACACTCTTATTTCTCGCCTTCGAATTGAAGAAATCGAATGAGAAACAACAAACAGATGTAAACCGGAACGTGGATGAGGAGAAATGGGTGTGCGGAAATCACTTCCCCCCGCAATAACTACTAGTACCCAAATGTGGAAAACCCGGAAAAGTCTTACAATTGTGGCAGGACGAGCAGCCGAGCCGGAAAACGAAAGCCCCTTGAAGAGCAAATTCGAAAGCGACTTAGCCATGCTGCGAACCCTAAAAACATGAAATTGTGTTTGGTTAGTCGGAAAACGAAGGAAAGTTGAAAGCTTTTTACAATAACATTCATTCATAAAAACCGATGTCAAAATCCTGTTTGGTTAGTCGGAAAACGAAGGAAAGTCGGGAACTTGATCGATTTACCTGGAAGAAGAGAAGGAGAGAGGTGGAACCGCCGTGGAAGGAGGCTGAGGCGCTGAGCTGAGAAGGAAGAGGGAACCAGGTGAAACGATGCGTTTTTCTCGAGTGTAGTGAAGGTTTCTGCAACGTGTGTCGGTTTAAATGAATCCAGTTTCCTTCTTTTTTATTGGTATATCTTTGGTCCATTTTGTTACACATTCTAATTCCGGCCTTGAATTTTACTTATTTCAATTTACCCTTGAAATTTATGATGAATGTCAAATTGAATTTTCCTTATGACTCAAAATTTTGTAAAATTCACTTAGCGAGTGCTTTCGGGCATGAAACAACAGTTTGGGCAAAGATGGGCTAACCGAAGGACCACAGATCTCGGGCTATTGTGTATCCTTCAACCCAATGGGCTTTTAGCCCCATGAAGAGGATCAGTTCGACCGAGTCCTTATGAAAGAAGGACTGTGAAGAAACCAAGTGTGGCTGGCTCGGTCATGTCCTATACGAAATGAGAATGCAAGAGATCATATTGGAACTTAGATAAATACGAATTATCCCAAGGATTAGAATGCTTGCTCAACTGGATAAAGATGAATGAATCTCATAATGAGACTAGATTCATGAGTCCTAGTTGGAATGAAAGAGGTTGAGACTGGATGAAGATGAAATTTGGGCCATTAAAGGATAAGGGGAATATTGAAGCAGATGTCGAGCAAATACAGTCCCATCAGGACTCTGCCTTGGCAGGCTTGTTTATCGCACATACCTCACCTATAAATAGAAAATGGTATGCAATATTAAAGTCACTTCAACTCAACAAACAACTTAAAACGCACTGCGCGAAAACCCTTCGCCCACGTAAAACTGATGCACAACCCTGAGAAAAACACTAACTTCCTAACTTTCCTGTCAACACATCTTCAGTCTAAACTAACAATACTATGTTGAGAACTGGCGACATCTTCATGGACTAACAACACTGGAGCCATAAAATCAAGCGGTCAGGGAGCATCTTCAGTTTAGACTAACAAAACTGCTTCCAGTTGGTTGGTTATCTATCTAAGTCTTGACCGGTGAAGAAGTTTTTAACTTATTACTGAAAGAGGTCACTTCATTAGCTTTCTAGCGAAGTAGAGTGTTCAATGATTGGTTACTCCCAAGTGCATTTTGCAGTTTGGCACTTAGACAGGCCGAACCACATTTGCCATTAAAACGCTTATCTCTTTTGAGTACATGTACAATCTGATACCAATTCAGCGCACCTATATTCTAATGAATATAGTCGAGGCAACCAAACCCGGTGTAGGAAAGGAGATCCTGAACTTCACACTGATCTAGGCAACCTTGTCTTCAAGTTCTAGAATCCAAAGCCAAGACGTGTTCCTTTCTCGACTATAATCGCTTGAGCACGGAAGTCAGCAGTGCAGTCAACACCACTACCACCACCACATCTATTCTACTGCTTGACCAAGCTCGGTTGCGAGTTAGAACTCCGCTTTCACAAAAATGATGTAGTTAGCTCATAATTACTCGCACTGCCGGCCACGTAGGCTTTGTACTTTTTAGAATCAACAACAGGTGTAGTCAATTAAAGTTTTGAAAGATTTAAAAGACACATAAAGTGTTAGATTTGATAGGATTTAAAATTCTACAAGGACTTTTGAGAGGATATATCGAGTTTGCTAAGAAATTTTGACGACTAGATTAATGAGATTTTCTTGTTATGTATCCAGATTTTGAATTGAACCACCTAAGTCATCTAAACTGTTAACACCGTGTCACGTTTAAGTCTTTTTGTTTCAAATTTGACACAGGATAAAGGTCAACTAATCAGCTAATTTGACACATGATAGAGGTCGTCCTTTCCATCAGGAAAAATAAAGTTGCCAGTAGCTTCAACTGATTCAATAATTCTTTTCATAAATTATTTGAAAAAAGTTTGGCGAAAAAGTAGAAAACCAGAAATATAAAGCGACCCTGTGTACAGAAACATCCTCATAAACCGAAACCATAACTAACATAGTACTCAACCGTGCTAACACAATCTAACAATGAATCAAACAAGAGGGGAAAAAAAAAAAGAGAGTTCTCGAGGCCCTTTAACATTGTCAGGCAAAATGAAACTTCATGCCTTCGCAGTTCATTCAATGCTTCTTCTTCTTAAACAGTCCGACACGATCCGCAACTGAGCAGAGACGTAATCTGAAGATGCTACTGCGGCAGTTCGATCTGCAACTGAGCAGAGACGTAATCTGAAGATGCTACTGCGGCTGTTCGATCTGAGAACGCCAAAAGAAAAAGGGGAAAAAAAAGGAAAGAGTGATGAGAAATACGTGAAACATTGGAAAATGACTATACTTCTGCGAAATATGAAACTTACATACAGAATCTTGACACTAAGTTTTAGCGTAGTTTCATAAAAAATCTTGACACTAACTTTTAGCGCGAGAAAATTGACCTCAGAATAGTCTGCCGCAGTCACCGCCTGTTATTTGTTGGCCATCTTTGATTTCTCCAGCGCAGCCTTCCAGTACGAGGGGTATTTTCAGGTGCTGAAGCATTGCCCCATCTAGGAGCACGACTGGTCTCTTCAGTTAAGGAGTTGTTGCCCCATCTAGGAGGACGATTGGTTTCTTCACGTAAGGAGTTGTTGCCCCATATAGAAGCACGACTGGTTTCTTCTGGTAAGGTGTTGTTGCTCCATCTAGGCCAACGACTGGTCTCCTCCGTTAAGGAGTTGTTGCCCATTCTAGAGGTGCGACTGGTCTCCTCTGATAAGGGATTGTTGCCCCATCTGGCGGCATGGTTAGCTTCCTCTGACAAGGAGTTGTTGCCCCATCTTGGGGTACGGCTATTTTGCTCTGACAACAAACTGTTGCCCCATCTAGGCGCATGACCACCAGCCTCCCCAGACATGGAATTGCGACCCCATCTGGAACGGCTAGTCCCCACATCATCATTCAGTGCCCGCCATCGCAGACGTCTGGGACGAGATGTAATATCTGATACATTGTTGCTCCGTCTAGTGGAAGGAATGGTATCATTGTCATAACGAACCCTGGATATCCTTCCTGATCTGCGGTTATGCGTCTGCTGCTCTCTGCCACTTGAAGAGCCACTTGAAGAATCCATCAAACGAGTCACAAGCATGACCTCAAGAGAACGGAACATTGCAGCGAACACGGTCGACATCCAGGAATTAAGATCCCCTGATGAATCATCAAGAAGTTCATCTCCGGGTCCTTGTTGGACCAAGCTAAGAACATCTTCCAAGTCCCTTTCACGCTCCAACCTTACCCAATCACTATGCCGAGTTGGATCCACCTCGGATGGACGGACAGTAGGATGTTCAGACCTAGCATGCTTCCTCAGTTCTGAATAAGTCCCACTAAAGTCACATGTCTCAGAAGAGCAATTCCTCACTTTGGCATTCATGAAGTGGCGAGCAGCCTCTACAACAACATACCCATAGATCTCTCCACGACAAAGAGGGCAAACTGGCTTCGAATCCAATTGACTGCCACAGGGGCTGCTTTGCCCAGGCGATGACTGTTCCTCGCTAGCAATGTGAGAGGTGTGTGTGAGAGGAAGTTCCTGCAACATAACTGTTGAGCAGCAAGGCGAAGATGATTTACAAAACTGGTCAAAGCAATTTGAGTGCCGATAGCTTGTATTGCACATGAAAGGCCTGCAGCCCTTCTCATGAGATGAACATTTTAAAAGAACCGCATTGTGTGCATGTTCCATGCAGATGGGGCACCTAGCTTCTTCCCACTCTTTTGCGTTATCTTCGCTTTCCAAAGGATTTTTCAGATTGTAAGCATCAGAATCATCAGAGGTGCACGGATAAGGAGATGCCCTAGATCGATCAAGAGACAAGGAACTATCTCTTCTAACTTTAGGCATTTTTGAAGTTAAGAAGCCACCACAGAATACTAAAACCTACTTTTTCCAACACGCAACATTAGGAAGCATTAAATGTAGGAAAGAAATATATCACAAATATTACAAAAGACTGAAAAAAATGCATAGCAGATTCGGAAAACCAGACTTTAACAGATCTTAACTAAACAGGCCCTTTTTTGTGTGATATAATCTGTGCGTGCTTATGTGCATGATTGTATTTTCAATCTTAAATTGCAGAGATCATAATCATTGATATGTCACAAGTATACTAATGGAACCATTTGATCCAAACAAAACAACTGAACCATTACTACTCACTAGTCAGGTAAAAAGAATATTAGAAAATATATCAACTCCTTTTCTGTAATTTGACGCCACAATAGAAAGCGACACCTTAATCATGAACACCAATAAATAATTACTAGCAAACTCCAAGAAACCTGCACAAATGTGCAGCCCAGTGCACGGGGCTACTGCCATTGCAGAGTCAGTTGAAAATAAATTTCTTGTACTTATCCAGGTTTAACTACAAACTAAGTACCTATATACACATACAATTCAACGAAGCTCACCACCCACCACACGACCCATACCACTTAGCCACTAGTGATTTATGAAAATAGACACACTCGGCCAAAATACATAAATAATTAGATTCCAAAGAAACTCAACCTAGCTTCTAGTTCTAGTTCAATTCCTAGCCTTCCAATTAAATTACCAATTTTTCCTTATATCTTCGACATCAATACATAAAACGCAACATCATTACCCAAATCGCAGCCACTCAACACCACCCAAATCATAAAATTACACCCAGAAGCCTCACCGAAATCCCTTTGCTCATATTCAATATTCACCGTTGACCCATTCGACATTTCAGCATGAACAAACGATCATAACATGTTCAGAGAAGCCATCAACCCAAATCAAAAGCACCCAAAACCACAAAGTTTAAGAAAGCTAAAATTATCCACAAAAATTGACAATCTTTGCGCTAAAAATTCAAAATTTTCATAGTTTTCGAACCCAAAATAACGAAATCAATCAAAACCCAGAAATAATTTCACGATCTGCGAAAATAAATCGAAGAAATAGATCGTATCGAACTGTAAAGGATTTTAGGGTTCGGAATTTACCGGAGGTTGCTGTCGCTGGAGACTCTGGGGAAACTTCCGCAGAAGAGAGCGAGCGTTTCTAAGCAAAATTGAAACGTAGGAGGCGTGCTAGCTCTATATATACGCAAGAGAGACACGGGTGGCGTCTACCAGGTGTTAAAAGACGACACTGCCCTCAGTCGTTCTTGTTCTGGTCTGGACTTTATCGTAATTGGACGAGTCCAAACGGTTACGTCTCAAAATCCCAAAAGTTCAGTCCAGTGGTGGGCAGCACAGGAGTTATGTGTTGAGTTCAAATGTATTGGACCTGGACCATCGGGTTCCCAAATACCCGACCCGAGTTTCTTTTATCAAACCTGAGTTTCTTTATTTATTTATTTTTTTAGTATATCGATATTTTTACATAAAGAGGAGGGAGAGTTCAGCTAAGTCATACAACAATCAGCCTAATTTGGTATCAAATTAACCATCCACAATATTCGAACCTAAGACCTCTCATTTCTCAGCAAAGAGGAATACCACGAGACCATAATACTAAGTGACTCTATCAACCCTGAGTTAAATGCATGTTTATTAATTTGGAATGAGAAGCGGAATGAAATTAATTCATATTCCAAATTTCTCCCCTTGTTTAATTTCATCAAGAAACTGAAAATTACCTATGAATTCTACACGAAATCGAGTGTGACATTCCTTAATCCGTAAGGAATGTGATAGAGAGGTGAAACTCGAGAAGGGTAAATGAGAATAAACATTCCTGTAACACTGATATTTCTTCTCTATCACTAGCACAAAAAAATTAAAAACAAAAAACAAAATAATGATTAGACATAAAGTTTTCTTCACTTGAGCTCTTCTTCAATTAAGAATCAATTAGATACACTCGTAAACCCTTTTTTTTATTTATTTAACTCGTTGTCCCTTTTTTTGGTTTTTTTTTCCTTTCCAATCTAGTATCAAATAAAAACTATCAGCTCATAATCTTTAGTATATACTTTATATTAAGCTAACCTGCATCATTTTTAATCACATAGGCACATGTCAATGTTCTTCAGTTTATATTGACACAAATTTAATATAAATCTAAAGCTGAAGGGGTAATTTGGCATTCACCTATTTTCTATTTTATTCTCATTGTTGTAATTTGATGCAGCTTTCAAGTTAACACATGCATAACTTCATAATTTTAAGTGTTAATTTAAAAATAAAAAACAAAGCAGAAGTACTGTGACTTTTGTTTCTTATAAGTCTTTGATTTTTTTTAGTTCATGCAGACAACATGCTTTCTGAATAGATTGTTCATTAAGTAGTAGATGGAGTGGATGATCTTCATTGACTAAAGTAGTAAATTGTTCAAATGGTTAGAACTTTCCTTTTTATTCATTGATTAAAGTAAGCAGTAAATTGTTCATATGATTAAGGACTGGTTTGGTATTGTTGTGCCTTGAAAAAAAAAACTGTTTCTGTTGTGCGGTGAAAATAAGCAGCTATGAAATAAAACAGCATGATGTTTGATAAACTTTTTTGTAAAAATACTTTTGAAAAAAAAAAAAAACAGTATTATAGTGTTTGATAAATTTTTATATAAAACAGGTGTGAAAAAAAACTGATTTTTCAAAGCTGAATTTTGCAGCTTTATGTTTTTAGTTTTTTTTTTCATCTAAAACTGTGAAAAAAAGCTAAAGCGAAATTTTTACGAAACATAAAAAGCTCCCAGTTTTTTTTTTATAACCAATTTTTTTTCAGAATCACCTCAGCATCAAACTAGAGCTAAAGCTTTCCTTTTCAATTCACTTCGTCCTAATTTCAAACTCTCACTTCATCGAATTCAAAACCCCTCATTAATAAGAGTTAAATAATAAATATCACCTGTATTAAAAAATACATATATGTGTCAACTGAAAATTACGAAAATTTTATTATAGTAAGGCGACTAGTAACACCAAAATATAAACACTCCCATCTAATACCACATAGGACTTTTCTCTCTTTAAGCATATATCACGCAGCAATCTTACATAGAAAGAAGTTAGGGAAAACTAATCAAAGTCCAAAAATATCCAATATTTTTCCACCACTGCTTCCTCTCTCCATCTCTAATCATCCTTCTTGTCAATGGTAAGAACACCCTTATCGGTCTGATCCATCGGATTCATATGCTCCCCAGTCTTCTCCTTTTGAGCCTTCAGCTTCATCACCTCCTTTGCCTCTTGGATCGCGTCGTAGATCGGGTCCCCTCCTCCTTGGCTCTTATTTTCTAATGAGCTCACCACCTGGCCAGTTCTTTCCTGAGACATGGGAAATATAAGTCCGGCTATATATGCTTAGAGTATGAGCTTATGAGATCAGGTGGTCGGCTGTTTCAGTCCAATTTTAATGTCTTATAATGCTAATCCTTATTGGTGAAGGATTATTTCAAAGCATTAAACTGATATATTGTCGAAAACATTTTCCCATAATTTTAAGAGAGAATCCGTATTAGTTTTGGCAAAGATAGTATATATAGTGGTCTCAGCTCTCACAAAATACGCTCTTTTCTAAACTAAAACATACTCTTAGTTTGAAGATTGGGATTCCGACAGAGAAGAGAAGCACTACTGTGTTTGGTTCCGCAATTTTATTGATCCATTGCTTTATCAAATGGGAGTTCTTCAAGCTAGTCTTCTTTGTTAGCTTATGGATTATGGTTTTGTGTTATGATCAATTGTGATTTGTGAAACTTCTTATGCTTCCCTACCTCCTTTGCCTCCCTGATCGCGTCGTAGATCGGGTCCCCTCCTTCATGAGCTTTTTTTTCTAAAGAGCCCATCATTTGGCCAGTTCTTTCCTGAGACATGAAAGATACAAGTTCGACTATGAAGGAAAAATATAGTATCACCGTAAAGTTAAATAACCATTTTGCAGAACATCTCTTAATTTTTTTGGAGATGGGATTACTCTCGCCACGCCACCTTACTTGAAGAGTTATTTAAGCCTACTGTAAGTTTAATATGGGAACAATACATGTTTGATGACGCGAGATCAATAGACAGTTGGACACTTAGATTAACATATGAAAAATTGAAGAAAATTCTATATAAAACTAATTAGTAATATGAGACAATACCCCTTATAAGAACATAATCCCTTAATTTTTTCACTCTCCATAAGTGTAACCATCAAACATAATATAACGTGAAAATATAGCATGAAAAATAAGTTCATGCTCTAGGGGGGATTTTTTTTTTTTTTCTTCACAATATCGAAAAGTAATCTTAAATTAGAATCATTACGCCCATTGAACAAAAGGATATGGATCTTAATCATGTTATCAAATCCACCGCCGACATATACTTTATCATATGTTGTCATATTGGTCGGTACATCTCACACACACACACTCACATATATAAACAAACCTTTTATGCAAAAAGATTCCATATTGATCGGTACATCACACACACACACACACACACACACATGCATGCACAGACCCTTTATGCAAAAAGATTCTAATTTTTTCCAAAAACTGGAAGTAGATGTGAGACTTACTCCGTATTGAAGTTCAATGATCCGAACGGCTTAATCTCAATTCATAAATTATCCTTGCAAAAATTCAATTTTATCCAAAATCATTTGCCTATTTTATTATCAAGAAAAATTTTTATTGTTTCATATATAACAAAGTATACGTTAATTTTTTTTAACCCAATTAGATGTCTTAAATATTTTTGATTTGATTAATATTTTGTAAGAATGATTTATAAGATGCATTTTAAGAAATAGAAGATTCAGATCGTTAAAATTTGTTGTTGTGTAGATCCTATAATTAATTCTTATTTTTATTAAAAAAAAAATAAGGATCCCTTTCCTTGAAGGGTCTCTATATATATGCGTTCATGAAAGAATCCATGGGGAAGTTGAAAAACTATACATACCTGAGCTTGGCCCTTGCCTTGATCACCACATTCACCGGCTCCGTTGCTCTGTCTTTGATCATGGAACTCCATATTCTCTCCTCGTAAAACAGTGAGTGATATATATACATATACACACACACATATATATAGTGTGTGTGTGCGTGTGCGTGTGTGTGTGTGAGAGAGAGAGAGAGAGAGAGAGAGAGAGTCCTGAGAATTCTTCTTGCTAGTTTGCGGTGTGCCATGGGGCATGTGGCATATATACCACATGACTACGTTTCAACTGGGGCTGGGTGGTCATCACATGTTCTGATTTCTTGACACGTCGTCTGGTACGTGCCTTGTTTTGTAGGGTAGCAATCCTACCTAGTTTACATTGATATGTGACGTCTCAGTCCATATCAAACTTGATCAAGGAACTCCTTCCTAACTTCGTTGTATTAATATAATTGGTTCTTTAAATTATACAGACATTTCATATATCACAATTGTTTCTTCAATACTTGAAAAAGAAAAAAAATGAAAAGATCGGTCACAATTGTATTTAATGCACGAATAATTTTTTTAAAGAGAAATACTCATAAATATGACTGAATCTTAATATTGGGACATAAATAAGATATTTTAAATATGCACATGTTATGCATAAAAATCGGACAAATAGAAAATTTTTATATACCTTAAAATGACTTAATTGCCCTTGTATATAAATGAGTTATGTGCTCCCATTTCTTGATTTCTCTCTCTCCCTTTCTCACTGTGCACACACAATGCACTGTCATCCTGACCAACATTGTCCAAATCGAAGCCACCACAAATTTCATCTTGTCCTCATGAGTCCAAAACACCTAGCCTTCTCACAAATCTCATTCATAATCGTTGGGGTCGAAACTCAAGCAACCCGCGAGTTTTCCGGTCATTTTTTGGCAACATGACAAACAATCGAGGCTCAAGACCATCACCATTGGACTCGCATCGAGGGTGGGAACAAAGCCTAGTCATTAAATGTTGGTGTTTTGTTTGATGAATTTTTTAGGATTTGCCCATTGTATTACACAATATGCACATGATATGCTAACATATTTAAGCCAACCCAAAAACCTAGACGAATTAATACTTAGAAGTTAAATTAGGGTTTGTGTTTCATGTTGGTGCCTATGGGTTGTGGAATAAAAATTTCAAGTTTTGACGTGCTACAAAGCTGGGATGGAACAATTTCTGGTTCGAGTGTATCCAATTGCAAAAATTTATGAAATTTTTTTCGTGATGTGCATGGATACATCTTAATATGAGAAACGAGAATGTTCAGTAGTTATGATGCACGTATGTTGCTCGATCTCCAGTTATGTGCATATTATGTGCATGTAATGTATATATGATGTGCATGAGGTGTGCATATAGTGTATATGGTGGTGACATCGCATGTGATGACATCATTTTTCTGATTTCAAAAAGTGAGCTGTGAGCTTTAGATTTTTGGAGTTGGAATATTATTATGAAGTTAGCCATGCACACCATATGCACATTACGGAAAAAATTTCACAAATTTCTACAAATGGACACTTGAATAGAAATTGTTCCATCCAAGTTTTTTAGCATGTCAAAACTTGAAATTTATTTCACAACCCATAGGCCCCGACATGAAACACAAACCCTAATTTAACTTCTAAGTATTAATTCATTTGTGTTTGTGGGTTGGCTTAAATCTATGAGCATATCATGTGCATGTCATGTATATACAGTGGGCAAATCCTGAAAAATTCATCCAACAAAACACCAACATTTAATGATTGGGCTTTGTTCTCACTCTTGATGCGAGTCCAGTGATGGTGATCTCAAGCCTCGATTGTTTGCCATGTTGTAAGAAAATGCCTGCTTGAATTTCGATCCCAATGATCAGGGATGAGATTCGTGACAAGGCTAGGATGTTTTGGACTCATGAGGATGAGATGAAATTGGTGGTGACTTCGATTTGGACGGTGTTGGTCGGAATGACAGTGCACTATGTGTGCACAGTGAGAAGGGGAGAGAGAGTGCGTGACGGAGAAAGTGAAAGAAGAGAGAGGGAGGGAGAGTAGAGAGTAGAGAAAGATAAATCAGAAAATGAGAGTAAATAACCCATTTATATGTGGGTATTTTAGTAATTTTGGTTTTTTGCATGATGAACATGATCAGTTTGTCTTATTTTTGTCCCAAGATTAAGAAATTGTCCCATTTTGGGGTATTTCCCTTTTTAAAATGATCTTCAAATGAAAATTTAGAAATTGGACTGTTTCAATTATGAAATTTATATTGTAACATAAAAAGTAAGTGTGTCACTTAGTACTACGGTCTAGATGTATTACTCTTTACTTGTAAATGAAAGATCTTAGATTCGATTATCGCCAAATGCGAATCTGAACAACATTACTATGACTAATCCATTGTGAGGCTTAGTCTACTATCTCACATTTTTATTATAAATAGTAATGTTTGTTAAGAAAAATAGGGTTTCACTAATAACAGTGATATACAAAAGGATGTCTATATATCATGGATTAGAACATAATTTGCCAAAGCCTAGTGAATATTTCGCAAGCATATCAAATCCTTTTCATGCATGACAACCGCCAAGTCCCAAAAATCCGGGGAAAAAAAGAAAAAAAACAGTGGCTCGAGATTGACAAACGGTGGTGGGAATGGGTGGAGACTCTTTGTGTTTTTACATTTCAAATTGGTGCAAGTCTTTCAATCAAATTTCAAAATTGTGACATTCGTCAGGATTCTAGTGCTTTCAGTAAGGGTAGCCATGATTGTAGGGATTACAAAGCAAAAAGGCAACCGTTTGGGGTTTAGTGGCAATGTTTGGGTAAACATGGACAACCCAAGCTCCTTTCCATAGTCTACACGGCACCTGTTGGACCGCATCTCTGTAAAATTTGATATTGTTTAATGTGTTCGGAATATGTTATTATAAAAGGAAGGAGACACTTAAAAACTTTCTCAACTTTATGGTGTACCGTCTATATTACGGAATTCATAAGCCATTATTATTCTCTTTTAAATAACATAAAACTTCAAAAATATCTTTTAATTCAAGTTCATTTCATAAGAGAATAAAAGTTGGAATTCTCATCATAGAATAAAGTTGGCAATTCATAATAAAATGCATGAGTTTGTAATGTTTAATTCGGTGCATGTTTTTTATTATAATAATCTAATTTTATGTTTATTTCTCATGTTCTCGATCACTAAAATATTAAGTGTTTCAAAAACATCCACTCAAATAAGTTCGGCATGCATGTACGTTCATATAATCTAGTTTTGTGTTCAACGGGCTGTTTAGATTTGGGTTCATGGGCTTCGCATGTTAATTAGTTTATTACTTATGACTTTATTAATCTTAATTAAAAGAATATATTATTTTAATCAGCCGCATACCCTAGCCCTAGGTTGATATTTCTTTATCTGCACATGTTGGTTTTGTTCCATGCATATTAGATGTTTTTGGGGTTGCTGCTGCATATCACACTTGCATGCACCGACAAATATTCGAGCTTAAGAGAGTTTAGTCGGTACCACTAGCAGCAATGCATTAGAAAGAGAGAGACCATAGTTGTCTTCATTGTTTTTGTTGCCCATGTGCCGAATGCATTAGAGTGGTTTTGGTTATTTTCTGCTGCGTGAAATATCATATGAGTGCAAACGTTTTTTTTCAGTAGCCCGACTGCACAGAGCGCTATTTTCATTCCAGAAAAATCAGTTTTATTGTCGAGTGTTTTTAAAGAGAAAAAATTTAGTTTTTGATCGATGTATTTTATGTCTTTTAATTAAAATTAATTATGAAAATGTGTCTTATGATTTTCAAAAATCATTTCATTTCATACATTATTCTGCATGGTCACGTTAGTCTGTAGCAAAAGTTCGAAAAAAAGGTGATTGATGATTGTGTTAGTACCATGCCACTTCCACTTGAAGGTTGAAGACAACGTATAAACAAAGTTGTTAGTTAGTATGTGTGTCTAGTTTTTTTTTAATAAAAGTATAAAAGATATTCCATTGATAGAGAACGCAATTACAACACATTTGCAAGAGAGGTGCCAACTGGATGCATATTTACTAATGACCAAATCCTTGATCTAGAGATAATAAATTATGTAGAACCCACACTAATAAATTTCCTACTTGGCCACCACAACAAAACACAAAAACACGACACAAGAACCAGTGGTGTGGATCTGCCACAACAGATCAATGGTGACAGATTTGAAACCAAGGAACACAAAGCAAAAATTGCTAAAAAGCGCGGCCACACAAACCATTAGGCGGTACAACAAACACAAATTACGCTGTGATTTGGAACCTCCGGTCATCACAGAAACGAAGGGAAAAGGCGAAGCCTCAATTTCTGAGACAAAACCTAAACCTAGGGATCAGTTGAGTACTGAAGAAAGGAGATGTGGGACAAACGAGGGAAATTGAAGAAGATTATATAAAAACAAAAACTTGAATGCCAATTAACTTAAAATTTTGTCTTTAACTTTTAGTTTGGTTTAATTTCGTGTGTTCCATACACACTTCTTTTACACTTCATCTACTATCCTTCCAACATGCATGTAACCTAGATGAATTCTGCTTAAGGAAGAGAATATTGCACTGCTTGTACTATAAACACGAACAGTATTATATCGTTTTTCATTACGACTGGAAATTACATATCCTATTCCTCCATGCCAGACGACTGAAAACACCAAATACAAGGTAGCTAGAATATTATTCGCCCAACTCAGTTAGATGGAGAAGCCACAGGACTTCTAAAACATGCCAACATAAACTTATTGAACCAAAACAACAAACCAACGCCTGAAATTAGTAAAACAGACACTAAATATAAATAGACGACAATGTTTAAATACTTTAAACTAATAAGATCTTTTGGTGGTGCCACCGGTAGTGCCGGTGGTGGAGTCCTTGTTATAATAAACACCAGTGTCCTCTTCCTTATCATCATTCTTGCCCAACCCAAAAGTGCCTTTCACAGCATCAGCAGGCACCTTGCGCCATGTGCTTCATCTGCTCTCCAGTCTGCTGCATGATCCCTGAGGCTTTCTCATTGCCGTACTGGGAGGTCTCTTTGGTCTTCTGGGCTGCCTCTTCTGCTTTCTGCTTGGCCGTCTCCTTGGTATCCCAGGCCTTCTCTTTTGCTTGCTCCGCCTTCTCAGCGGTCTTGTCTTTCACCTGGTTCATAGAGGCCTGTGTTCTGTCCTTGGCTGACTGGGCTGTCTCGTATGTCTTGTCCCTTGTTGCTTGGGTTGTGTCATAGGCCTTGTTCCGTTCTTCTTGTGCCTTGTTCCCCACTGTGCCCATCACCTGGTTAGTTTTCTCCTGAAAGATCAAGACAAAAACTCGTTTAGATTAGATTAAAACATTAATTTGCTACAATAAAATAAATAATTTCAACCACAAATACACGCAGAGCTAAACCACCAGATACTACAATTAAAATTGTAAGTATAATAAATACAATATGTATACTATAAACCCTTCCATTAGGTCATTGTAGATATATATTCTAACTGCCCCTAAAAAAATTATTCTATCAGATAATTGAGGTAAGATGTATCACCGTCAACTAAATTAGTTAAAAAAATTTCAGGATTCAGATTAATGGCATAATATAAAACAAAAACTTATAGATTTGTGAATATTATGTATTAAGTATATGGACATGCAACACTAATACCAGTTGCTAAACCATACAAAAAATGCACTAATATATTTTATTAAGGGATACTTTGGATGCAGTCCTTAATCCTTAACATTCTTTGATTAAAACCTTAATAATATTCAAAGTTTGATCAAGATCCCTTGACTTTGTACACCTCATTATATTACTATTAATATTTATATTTTTATAGTTTTCACATTAATTATTTGATATTTTATGAGATTTATAATCCTATAAATTTAAAATCCCCTCATTATAATACTATTAAAAACAGTTACAATAAAAAAAATCCAAACATTTTGATTGAATAAATGGATAAAAACTATGTAAAAATAAAAAATAATAAATGGCCAAAGAATGTATCCATAGTGTTAAAAAAAATTGGTACATTAATAAAGAAGAATGGGTACATCATAAATAAATTAAGGTACAAATAAAAGATTAAAAAATATGAGTACAAATGATTTTTTAAAAATATAGGCGCTAAAAGAAATTAATACATGAGTACAAAATAAAACTAAAAAGAAAATACTACAAATTAAAAAAAAATGTTGCAAATTAAAAGTGGGTACAAACTAAAAATATAAATATATGATACAAAATTTAGGCATAAAACATAAATATACCATATGTAATTTTTCTGTCATTGATTAAATATACAATGTCACGTAACGATGTACACATGGGAATAAACACAAATAAAACTTTAAAAAATATGGGCACAAAAAGAAACTAATATGGGTACAAATTAAAAATAAAAAGAAAATTGGTACAAAATAAAAAAATATTTGCAAATTAAAAATAGGTACAAACTAAAAATAAAAATATATGATAAAAAATTTAGCCATAAATATAAATATACTATTTTTAACACTAAAGGAATATATTTAAAAATAAAAATATTTTATTATTCAAATAATTAATAATGTTATTAATACCCAAGACCTTGATCAAAAATTCAAAATGAATAGGATTTTAATCAATGGAGTAATAAAAAGAAGAATAGTGAACCTAATTTTTCCCTTTTATTAATCTACAAATTAACTATTTAAATTAAATCTCAAAATTATACATATAAGTTATCTGTGTGTATTAAATCTATATACCTGAGCTTGGCCCTTGGCCTCACCAGCTCTGTAGCTCTGTCTCTGATCCTGGGATGCCATTTTTTGCCTTGTAAAAGAGTGAATACAAGTGATGAAATTGTTAAATGTATGTGTATCTTCGAGCCTGTGAATTGATATTGATGAGAAGGAACGGTGCATGCATGGTATATATAGCGTTTTCACGTTGGCTGGTTGGTCAACATGTGTCCTGCTCTGTTGACACGTCGTATGCCTTTCGAGGCGAGGTTATTTGCCTGCGTCGGTTTTAACTTCCAAGAGATTGCATCGATATGTCTTAAGCCTATCGTCTGTTGACATGTCGTGATTCTCTGTTACGACGTACAAGTGGTGGATGGTAGGGTTTACACGATTGTTTAATGCAGGAAAACTACTGCGCTAATCTGTGGCTGTATATATGGGAGGTAAGACAATTTTTTTTTTACTGTGGCTGGTTTTTTACTTTCTTTTTATTTATATGATATTTGGAATTATGGTTTTTATGCTCTGAGTGGTTATAATTGATATTGTTTGTTTTGAATAGGTGTGGCGAGTTAAATCTACTAAGTTTTCATTACTGGCGAGGGATTGTAACTTGGATTAGGATAGCTATTGCTTCTAGTTGACTAATCTTTGTCCCAAGATATAAGCTGTGCCCTTTTTTCTATTAATTGAAGTTTTACCTCACGTAGTTTTCTTTATGAATTTTTTTTACCGAGGTCCGCATCAATAATGTGCAACCCTTCGATTGAAGTATCAATATTTTGAAGATCTTTAATTGTAGTTATAGAACTGAAGATGAGTGCACTTTAGTTCTTAACATTCACGTTTGAATTTTGTACTATCTTATAATGTTGTGAATAAATCATTTTTTTCAATAAAAAAATTAATTTCAATTAAACTGCATAATAGCTAGCAAGTAAATTAATGCTAGCCAAGAAAGAACCCTGTAATTTGATTGAGGACAATACTTGCATAAACCCAAACCCATGGATGTTCAATCTTGTCCACTCATTTGTGATTAAGGTGTTTTGAATGTTTATTTTCTTAATCAATGTCAAAAGATTATATATCTCTAAAAAAATTCAGTTCAATTTGTGATTAATGTATTTTTATCGTACAAACTTTCTAATAAAAAAATGTTTATTTCTTTGTAGTCATTAGAAGATATCTAAAATAATTGAATTAGAAATCATTTAGTCATTTGTATGTATCAAACAAATGAACGATCTTGATAACAAGTGACACCATCATATCGATACAAATGGATAGCTAGTTATTAAAAGATCACTAACTTTAATAAATTTTTATAAAGATAATCTTTAAATAAAGAAAATAAAAGTATTGTAAAAATACGTTAATCCAGATAAACTTTTTAGGCACACAGTGGCCCCATACATGGTCACATGGAAAACCAATTCCCACATTGGGAACTAATGCAACTTTTCGAGAGCTGATCATCATTTATTCACTAAATCGTCAACGTAACTTTTCAAAGGCATGTGATACAATCAATATCCTTAAATTGGAGCTAGTGCAACTTGTCGAAAGAATAGTCTACTCTAATATGATAAACTTTTTAGGTACAACATCGTGCACCACCAGCATCACATATATTGTTCTAACTTAAACACCTATTACTACTTTACTAGGTGTTGGATTTTATTACAAAAAAGTGCCGGTGATAAGAGGAGTGAAATATCTCATATATTAGTTATATATAAGATTCTAAAAGACGCTAGGCACTAGTTGTGTAGTAGGCTAGAGCCTAGCACCTAGGCTTGCTAGGCAGCTAGGTGTGGGCCTAGGTGGACTAGACGGATTTCATTAAATTTATTATATAACATATAAATAACTGCCTACTTACATTTATACTCTAAAAAAATTATTTTTGTACTGAGAATTTAGAAAAATTCAAAATTAAAACTTAAGCCATCATGACATTAACATCCTCATAAACTAATGTAGCAAAAATAAGAAAAACCCAAAATTCCAAACCAAATTTGAAAATTCAATTATCTAAAATTGGAGAGAGAGAGAGAGAGCGTATATATATGCGAAGAGACATGGGGAAGAGAAATAGAAACGGTGGAAGAAATAATCTGGATTCTTTTTGGGTAGGTAAACCAGAAAAACACACCATCACTTAGCCTGCCTAGCCCTTATCCAATTTTACTCCACGTTTTGGCCTACAATCGCATCGTTCCTCTACCGTCTAGTGCCTAGGCACCATCTAAACCATTTTTTATAACAGTGATTACAGATTATGTTCTTAAATGCTCAATGTAGGATTATATTCTTGAACAATTCCAAGTGAATGAAACAACTAGATGCTAATGCACCTTAGTCCTAAATAAAATTACATTGGACAACACAAGTATTGTCCAATTTATGAATTAAAAAAATTGTAAAATTAATGCTATGATTATGAAAGGAGCCACGTATAATACATGTCAATTAGGTTACAATTAATATGTAGTTTTTCATTCTCTAGGTCCTCTCTATTTCTTTAGTCTTGTTTCCTTACACTGACGAGAATGCTTCCTTGTGTAATGTTTCATATGTTACGTACACATGTGCGAGATTTATAGTTAGTAAAGCTGGTATCAGCCAAAATGTTAGAGAAGAACTAATTAGTGATACATAGTTTGTTTAATCTTATATCAGCCAAAATGTTTGTTCAGCTAGGTTTATAATTAAGCTAGCTATCACTTATCGTCTCAGTGTTACATCTCACAAAAAATAATGGAGCCAATGTGATAATTGTATATCATAAGTGTAAGTACAGATAACTAACCAATCTTTTGGGACAATTCCAAATTAGTATCAACCTTTTAAATCATTCCTAATAATCTAACGTTTTAAAAATTAGACATCTGTTAGGTCATCAGCGTTAATTAACCGATGACGTTACCAACTTACCAACATTAAGTGATGATGTTACTGGTGTAAAATGATGAGGTGCACAAATTCTAAAGTTGATTTACACCTCATTTCACATGTCCAAACCACATTAACCGATTCTTTCGCATCTTATTTTCAATTTCGGCTACTCCTAATTTACTTCGGATATACTAATTCCTAATCGTGTACCCTTGTTCTTAAGGTAATTAAAGCTTTAATTTTACCGGAGCCTATGCCAACGGACTCTCTTTCTTGACTAATTAAGACAAGCCAAAACTTGTTTGAAACATTCCTACATCAACACATGCCACAACTATGCTGGTGAATGCACGCAAAAAATGGGGTAGGAACAAGGAAGTACTGAGAATAGAAGACTTTCCTCAACCTATATATATAGTTTTCAAATGGAACAGCTTTTGCATCCTGCGTTCTTCATCTGTGATTGATTTTCATAGAAGAAAAAACTAAGCAAGCACAAAAATGGCAAGCAACCAAAACCAGAATTTGAGTCACAAGGCTGGCGAGTTGACTGGTCAAGCTCAGGTATATATGGTTGTTTGAATTCTTTATATTATACTTTTAACCTAGCGAGGGGATTCAAACTCGGGTGTATAGGAGTGAGCACATTAGATCTAGCAATTTAGCGATGCCCATGTTTGCAGCTACTGGTTTAACTGTTGATTATAATGTAATTAATGTTACATTTGATTTGGTTATAATGTAATCAAGTTGCATTCATCAAGTTAATAACCTATTTTTCTTTTCTGATCCACGCCACAGGTTAAGAAGGATGAGCTTCTAAACCAGGCATCGGGTGCAGCTCAGTCCGCCCAAAACAAGGTATCAAATTTATCTCAATCTGCCCAAAACAAGGCATCTGATGCATCTCAGTCTGTCCAGAACAAGGCATCTGATGAATCTCCTACTGACATCAAGGACCAAGCCACCCACCTCCTTCAACAGGCATGCAATGCAACCACTTCCTGCCATCTCCTTATTTATTTGCATTTTTATATATAATATATTTCTTATTAGATATCTAGTAAAAAATTATTCAGATTTCACCAAACATAAGTCAATATAAATTAGCATCAATTCATCATCCATTTATGTTAACTAGAAACATAAGTCAATAAAAATTACTCAGATTCTTATTAGATATCTAGTAAAAGCCAGTCCTTTCCACCTTTTTTCTTAGGCAAATGCTATTCGCACTCGTTATTGGTTTTCTGCACTCCAAATTAAATATTTTTATTTTTATTTTAAAATATTCATGGAATGTGTGTAGAATAACGACATGGGAACGTGAATAGCAATGGTCTTTCTCTTGTACTATATACATATTTTACAGTGCATGTACTACATGTATTTGATTGCAGACAAGTGAGCAAGTGAGAAACATGGCTCAAGGAGCAGCTGATGCAGTCAAGAATACTTTGGGAATGAATAACCCTAACGACCCAAGCAACCAAAACAATACCCCAAGCAACCCAAGCACTAGGATTTGAAGATAGTCCTCTTTCTTCAACGCTTGCTTTGCCTTCAGTTTCAACTAAAGTTCCTATGACCTGCGGTCATGGCGATTAGCTAGCCATCCTATCTCTGTGGAAATGGCTATATGTTTTGTTTTCTGTCAGATGCAAAAGATTGTATTTTTATTCCCTTGTTTTTTCTTTTTGGTAAATAAAAGAAGAAATCCTTATGTGCCCTTGTTAATTAACAGTGTCGTGCAAATGAATTAATACTTAAAAAAGAGTGTTTTGTCTCAAAACCTTTTTATTCTCTCTAATTTGCATCATCTCCATAACCTCTAAGTTCACTCTTTAAACTGTCTAAGAGTTCGACCGAAAAAAGATTCTGTCTAAGAGATTCACGACTCACACCATATATACATACCATATGTTAATTGCTTACATCAGATCTGAAAAAATGAGGCTCATTTTATGTAGGTTTTGTGGTTAACAATATGACTTAGACCATCTCCAACCCTGACCTAAAACCTAAAAATATTTAGCCCAGAAACAGTTTTTCTATTCCAACCGTTTTGGCTTAAATTTTTAGCCCAAGATTATCAAAGCATGAATTAAAGCTATTTTTTTAAATTAACTTTTTAAAATAAAAAAATTATGTAGACTATCCTAAATTAATTTTATGAACATTTTAACATAAAAATATTAAATTCTGATAAATTTTGAAAATCACTAAATCAATACATGAAAATCATGATAAACCACATAAACTTAATACAAACGACATTTAATAAACCATATAAACTTAATACAAATAACAATTAATAAACCACATAAACTTTATATAAAAAAACAATTAATAAACCATAAAAACTTAATATAATTGAATACTCATAAACTACAGAAACTTAATAATGATATCCACCATCTTGACTTGGTGATAGACTTGGGTGATAATCTTGAGATGAATCATCATCTTGAAATATACTCATTGTGGCATTCCTTCGTAAAATGTTCTTTTGCTTACTACGTAAGTATTTCTTCCTCTCTGGAGTGTATTTGTCTAGCCTCCATCATCAAATTAATTTCGAACCTTTCTTGCTCCCTATCCCCTTCTTACTTCATGGCCAAACGCATTTGGGTCGATTCTTCTTGCTGAGAGATATGGTTTTCGTTCATTCTTGCAATTTCGCTAGCAAATTGTGCACCTTATCGGATCTTGGGACTTCCCTTTTCTCTTTGCTTCCTTTTGCTTATCTCCACCCAGGGGTCTTGCAAAAGAAGAAGTTGGGGTCATTTATTCGACACCTTCATTGTTGGCAAAATTCTCACCTTCATTAACATCATTTGGGGGTGGGGCTTCACTATGAAATAATCTTCCACATTGTTGGTTCACATCAGTTCCCCACCTTGGACAATCCTTGAGGATGTTCCAAGCATGATGCAACTAAAAGCTTGATTTTTTTGGTATAGTTCTTGTCTTGTAAATTGTCATTGCTTTGTCACCGTATGCAACAAATACATAAAAATAATTAGTTGCAAAATACTATTATGTTCATAACAACTAAAATATCAAAAAAGAACACTCACAATTTCTGAGGCGCCCCTTCCACTAGGCATGTCAACCATGGCTCTCTCCAAGCTTCCCTTCCACAAAGTGCACGCTTAGTTGATAATCTTCCACCGATCATAAACACCACCAACTTCCCTTTGACCGGCATTGGAGTTTTCATGGAACTTATCAATGATTTTACCCCACAATACCTTTCTATTTTGATTCGTGCCGACGGCACCATCTTCGCTAACAGAAATCCATGCCAAGCATAAAGCAATATCTTCGTCAAAGGTCCAATTACAACCTCTAACATGCTCTTTAGCCATCTTGAAAAATTGGAAATGAGAAGAATGGTAGAAAGAAAAATTGGAAGAATTGTAGAAGAAAAGTGAGTTTTGTGTGGATGTTTGAACAAATACATAGGTTACGATATAAAAGAATCCCGGGGAACGATATAGAAGAATCCCACAGTTAGTTACGCATTGGCCGAAAGCGAGGATTCCCAATACGCCAGTGTGGACGCAGCTGAGATAGTAATAGACAAACCATACGTTTGCAAGGCATTGGCTCAAACTAATTCCAAGGATGCCAAAACTCGCTCGGCCTCTGAAGAAACGATTAAAACATTGAAAGTCTACATTTTTGATATCACTAAAGCTGATGCAATCTTCGACTAGTTGTTGTTAGCAAAGATCATAAAACTTCGACCAGGACATAACATTCTTAAGGCCAAAGAGTTGAAAGGCAAAACATATTGCAAGTACCATAACTCGAACAAGCATACCACCAACAATTGCGTTGTGTTCATGATGCCATTCAAAGCTAGATTGATAAAGGCAAGTTAAAATTTCTTGAGAAACAGATGGCTGTCGACGTTAATCCCTTTCCCTTGACAACAATTGGCATGGTGGATGCTCATTTGCCTAAAAACAAGGGGAAAGGGAAGGCCGAGTTTATCCCAGCACAACATGTCCTTAAGCAAAACTCTCAGCTGCGACTCAAGATTGATTTATTTTTAAATGAACCACCCATGGAGTTTTCAGGACTGGCCATAATTGAATCTATGTTAGGCTATAATTCCGAAGAAGCTGATGGACCAATGGTTTTGTGCGCCCATTGTAAAACATACATTGTCTTAACCAAACGTAAAGAGAAAACACCTTAGGCTCTAACTTCACGGCAATCGTCCACGGCCGTAGCAACACCTCTAAAGGAACTCGACACCGACCAACGCCAGATGGTGTTTGAGAGACTCGGCCCTCAGGTACGACCAAATGGTCCAACCTCAGTCAGACGGGGCATTGACTTTGACACACTGCTTTATAATGAGGTTTACTACTCATGTAACTCCAGTAGTTCGAGTTCATCGGTGAGTCAAAAAACCTTCAAGCTGCCTAAGCCATGCGACCAACGTTGGTATAGTTGCAATTCTCCTACCAGCATGTATACGACGTTATCCAAATCTTAAAAACGTCACCGCTAGCGGATAGACTGCATGGCCCTGCGACAGGCAGCATAAGCCAATTCGACTACTAGGTGGTAGCCAAAAGAGACAACAGGAAGCAGCGATGACTGACCAACCCCGACCATCATGGTCGAATTACTTCAAGAGAAAAAGTCAGTTGCTTGCGACTTTAAACCACCATTGAAGAGTCTGAAAAATGCATCAAACTCTTTCTTCGGCCTGGGAGATGAAAGCTCGTCTCAAGAATTTCAGGCAAGAAGCCAAAAACAAGCTTCCCCCCTTACCCCTGCGAGAGCCATTAATAAAAGTCTAGCGGAATCTACACCATCCATTCCTCAACGAATACTTAGAGTACATGCAAGAATTTCACAAGAAACATTCCACCAATGACTTGTACAGCCTGCCCAAGACATGTTAAGAAGCCCTCGACCTGGCATTAACTTGTCCCGATGTTGAACAGATTATCCAAAAAACTACTAACCCGGTAATAAAAGCTAGGTTCCAACATATACGTAAGGCTCGAGTCCTCGGCTTTGAGGCCATCTCCAACCAAAGGGTCCAAAGGGCTAGAGGGCCGAAAATAACCTGAAAACCATCTCCAACCATTCAACAAAAAAGGGTAGAAAATCCATCTTCGGGTGAAGGTTCCATACCTAGGGCTATGGGACGAAACAAGGCGCGAAGGTTGAAGGAAAAGGGCAAGGCAAATGATAATTACACCGCTCAAGATGAAGTGGCTGCCTCATTGAGATTATTGGCAGAGCAAAATGCCCTTGAGGTCGAAGAAATGAAGTGTAGCCATGAAGAACAGGCAAAACAAATACAAGAAGAGATGGATGACAAGAATATGGAAAGGAACACTTCGAATTACACTACAATGAGTAAGGCCTATTTTGATAGGAAAAAAAAAAGAAATTATAAGTTGACGACAATTGTTTACCTCTGACTATACTCCTACGATGGCGAATGATGAAGATGATGTTGATTATGAATATTAAATTTAAGTTGTTTTAGTTTTTAAATTTAAGTTAATGTTGTTTTCGAATTTAATTTGTAGTTTTTAAATTTAATTTGTCGCTTTTAAATTTTTGTTGTAATTTTTAAATATAAGTTGTAGTTTTTAAATTTAAGTTGTTGTAGTTTTTAAATTTAAATAATAAATTATGTTTGGCCCTTTGGCCCTCGGTTGGAGACGGTTTTTTGTGGTAGGGCTAAAACGAGCCCTCTGGCCCTCAGTTGGAGACGGAGGCAAATATGGCCCTGTACTGTTCATTAAAATATTAATATCTTGGAGAATCTTGGAGAGTCAGAGGGCTAAAATGTGCCATCTGGCCAGCCATCGGTTAGAGATGGCCTGAGGTCGACCTATACATAGACATATATATCACCAAACTCCCTTTCTCCCTTGAAGATCTTCAGCATTTACGATATCATTTCAAAGTTATCTCAACCGTATCCCTCTTCGGCCGTATCCCTCTTGAACCCATTTAACCTCTCTTTACACTCAACTTAAATTTTAAATATGAAATGTCTTTATTATCCTATTGCATAATTACAATCATGTACAAGATGAAATTAATTATAAAAGTAAAATTTATCAATATACCTACCCCCAATAATCAAACGCTAACCATCACTAATCTTTCTTTGATGTTCTATTGTGGCGAAAATCCTGAGACGCATTCATAGAAATAAAAATTATTTTCTTTTACGTATGAATGGTGATTTTAAAGTTTTGGATCCTTCAACTTTGTTTATCGTCATTATGGCTACCACCACCACCACCCACTAACCCCACCACTACCATATCTTCAACAGTACTCGTCACCTGTAGAAAACCTACTTCTACTACTACTACTATTGCCAAAACAACAAGCAACAACTTATCAAGGTCAACAACAATAAAAGGTGGAGGAGGAGGATAAGAGAGTTGGCATATGCTTTCACTAGTACTGCTCCCTCTTATATATGAGATCAAAACCCTACTTATTGTAAGAGTAGGGTTTCTCTGACAAAGGGTGGCTCAAGGGGAATCAAGCATGTTGGTCTGATAATTCGATATTATTCCCAGTACTATAAGCCAGCCTGCAAAATATGCGTGCATTTGTTAAAGTAGCTAGGGTTTAGTTAATTTAGTTTGACTCTCATAGTCTCATGGCACTGTGTTTAATTATATTAATAGATTTAATTAACATGGATCTTCATGAGACTGATCCGGGTAGCTTCTAATGTAAAAATAATGGGTGTGAAGATAAA